CCGGGGCCCGTTTTGCTGCACCCCGTTCACCCAGGCACCGGAGGACCGTGACCTTCGTCCTCCCGTGTCCCTTCAGACGCACCCAGCTTCTTACAAGCCACCAGCGCCGCCAGCAGCACCCTTGGCCGCTCGGAAACGGCAGCTCCTGAGCCGCTGCTGGCGGAGACCCCGGGCTCCGTCCAGGCAAAAAGCTGTGTTCGCCCTGCCGTGAGCCGACTGCGCCTGCCCGCAGACTCACAGGGTTCGGGAAAGTCAAGCCCTAAAGTTGAGACCATGGGGCCTTTAGCACAAATCTCCCAATTTTACGGAATTTTGTGGTCTTTAGTTGCGCAGCTGTGTCCAGGTGGCACTTAGGAGCTCATGAGTCGTGTTGAAAGTGTAGCTGATGTGGTCAGCTCCGAAGCTTGCAGGCAGGTGGCTATACCACAGGAGACTTCCGTCCCTGAAATTCACGCCAAAATGAGATGAAGGCCTGGAGTTCCTTCGGGTGACGTTGGGGACGTTACAGTGCAGAGAACAATGCTAAAGCAATACAGTGCCTTTGCATCTCCCTTTATATTTTCAATCTCTTCTTTCTCTTTTAGAGAGTTGTTATCAAGTGATGCGATGAAAGACTACAACAGAGCTCGAGTTTACCTGGATGAGAACTATAAATCACAGGAACATTTTACGGTAAATTTCTTTCTGTCACAAGTTTAGTTCAACAGATGGTGAATTTCTTCTGTTAAACTCTTTGGGGTGCTTTCATTGGTGTGAGGGTGTGAGCTGTTTCTGTCGTGATGAGGATTACATCTTTAGTAGGAGCATTTACTTTGTAGGAGGTGTAAATGCTGATTTCACAGAAGTGCATCCGTTTAAAAATGAGTAGAACGTCAGAATGCACAGAAAGTCTTGTCTTTTGTTTAAAATTATTTTCTACGTGTTTTTTTTTTTCCCCTCTAACAATTAACCTTCTTGGTGGATCAGAATTACCTTCCATTCAGGAAAGCGTGTTGCTGTCTGGCAGCCTGAGGAGGTGCCAGTTGTGCAGCGTGATTAGCTGGCGGCAGGGCTTGGCAAGCGTTCAAGGCGTGTTACAGATCTCTAGAGCCGATTCACGGGCTGGCTCGCCTGTGGGATGGCGAGAAGAGCCAGAGCACAAGTTTCCACTAGCGTGCAAGTGATGTTTAGGTACGTGTAAAAGCATGTGTGCGGAGTCGCCTTGTACGCAGAGCAGAAGTGATCGTATGGTCGTTGCCGTGACTGTACAATGTGTGAACAGGTCTGCTGTTTATTTAGGGTGATTGCTGCTAATTGTACAAGAAAAAGCAGTCCTTTAGAGGTGAATCGGTGACGTCTCTCTTCTCGCCAGGACAGCAGCTTCCTTTTCTGCCAGGGTACTGCTCGGTGGCTGCCGGCAGCTCCGAGGAGCCCTCTTGCCAGGCTCCCCGGCGCTTCCTGGGGCTCTGCTCCCTGCTTCTCAGCTGGTGCTGCCCGGCAGCCGAAGGCAGCAACTGGGACGCGCAGTTCAAACAAGGAAAAACCAACCCCCCCCAGCACGCACACAAATCCGAGCTCGGTAGCATGTAACCTAGGGGAATAAGAACCTGGAAAGGTTTTTATTTATTCATTTGTTAATTACTTTGGCTAGGAGCCCAGGTAACGTGGAACTGGATAACAGGTATCAGGATTTTTTTCTCTTTTTCATCAAAGAGGAAAAAACCCAAGGTTATCAGCTTTACTGAGCCTTAGTGGGACAAGTCTTGTATCAGGAGTGTTAAAACTGTATACTGAGGAGGTTCAGGAAGCCCCGGTAGATGAAGGGCGGTAGGACAGAACTGTGTGGTTTAGAGTCTCTTACAGCTCAGAACTGCGTCCGGATAAACCTGCTGACTAGCGGGGATCCCGCCGGCCTGCAGCAAGCGCCTGGCGCAGTGGGAAGAGCTGTCAGGGGCTCTGCGTAACCTGCTCTGCTTTCAGCAGAGGGTCAGACCAGGTAACCTCCAGAGGTCCCTTTCCAACGTAGACTTTTCTGTGATTATGGCAAAAAGGGATAATCATCTCTGACCTTAATTTGGGAAACACAGTATGGAAGACTAATGCAACCTATAACAAAATATCTGTAACTTTTCTTTAAAGATGGTCACAATACTTTATGGTATTGAAGTTATTTTATTTAACGTGAGGTACGTGTATTTTTGATGCCACTACAGTGGATAAAAAGGCCTTTAAAGAGCCTTTGATAGCAATCCTAGACATAGAGCACATGCTGTTTGCGTCTCTGTGAAGAACTCTGTATTTTGCAAAGTTCCTAGTTCAAGAAATAACGTGGTTTCTTGTTTCACACACTAGCGTTATTTTCTAGGCACTATGTTTTCTTGCAGTACTCCCCAACCACCTTTGTAATTTTCTCCCTTTCCTGCCATAAATATTACTTTGCATATCTTTTTTTTTTTTTTTCTCATCCTGTATTTACTAAAGCTAGGCCTTCCTGGAAAAAGAAATTCTGTCAACATATTCAGTCAATAAAGGGGGGGGCAGGAAAGACTGCTTGTACGAATATTATTTTCCATGGAAAACAGTCTTACCAAACACGTGTGTTTATTATTTGATTAAATTACTCTCTGTTGAGCTAGTGACCGTAAAGATACAGAACAGGTTTGCGAAGGCGTTTGACGTAGTCCCACGTGACAGGCTGTTTGTAAATAACACTACGCGTACCAGTAAAGCGGTGTTGAGCGGCTGGGAAATGGCTCCGTCGGTCTCTAATGGAGGTGGCCACAGGAGGGAGGACATTTTCCATAGGAGCCCTCAGTCTTTTCAGATGTAGGCTCACCTGTATCAGTAGCCGGGCAGTGAGTGTAAGAGCGCTGCTGATAGAATCGGCAGCTGACAAAGTTATTGGGAAATAACGATAAGCGTAGTACCAGTGCGTGTTGGTAAGGTGTCTCCAGCACAGCGGGGACTCCCTGCCTGGGAAGGAGCAGTTCTGGGAAGGATTTAGAGGTTATGTTGGACAAACTAGAAACGAGCTCCCGTTGCAGTGCTGTAGCTCGAGAACAAAAGCGATCCTTGAAAGCGTAGCTGGTGGAGAAGGAGCCTAAGAAAGATGGTTGTGTCTCTGTGGACAGACATAGCGAAGGCAGCATGGGTGTTCTGGCATCCAGGTCTTGATCAGAATTTTTAAAAGCATAAGGAGAAGATGGAGGTGACTCATAGAATGACGTTTCTGGCTTTTTTCTGTCATTCTTTCCAACCTGTAAGAACCTTTTAGAGCTGAACCAGTTCGGTGTGAAAAGGGAGAAAACCAAAAGATGAGCAATGATTTAATTACACTTTATATTACTATCATCAGAAGAAAATGCTGTGTGCTAGAGGAATATTTTATACCTTCCTTGTTAGACTTTTAGTAGTAGTGCCTTGGAACCAAAGCCAGAAAACCTAGAAAGGAGAGAGGACGCACCTTCTTAAACTTCGCAAAGCTTCTTAAGCTTTTGACTTCTTATAGTCTACTTTTTGCCACTTAATGCCAACAGTCCTCGTACATAGTTCCTGAGACTACTGTCGTGAATCAAAGATATGCATATATATGGTTTTTTACACATGTGATTTGAACTGGCAATTCTTCAGCTCCCCCGTTCAGTCTTTGTGTGCATGTAACTTATGCGCTGGCTGACTGTCTGAACAGGGATTTCACCACTGTGGTGTGTCCATTTAGGGTAAAGTTTTAGTCTTATCTCCAGTGTGGTTTGGCTCACGTGATGTTATGCGTCTCCTTGTTTCCTCATTAATTCTGTTTGATTGCAAAGTTCTTTAACTTCTATGGGCTTTTTTCCATCCCTTCTAAGGCATGGAATTGGCAGCAGATGGTAGCCTTGTAATTAGTATATAATTACCTCTCTGTCTGTGAAATATAAACATTTATCACATATAGTGTTGTATAATGCTATTTTCTTTAGAAATGGAAAAGCCCAAGTGGTTGCAGTTTGGCTAACCTTTACCCCTGCTGCTTTCATATCCCCTTTTCTAGCAGTTTTGGCATTGCTTCTTCTGTAAGGCTTTCCTTGGCTTGGCTCCCGCAAAGCTAAATCAGATTTTGCTGCCCATAGTTACTCAGTTAGTAACGCTTGGCTGCGTTAGGACTGACAGCGAGATCGGAGAAAGTGTTTTCAGTAGCCTGGCCCTTCAGCATGCAGCCTGTCGCTTCCAGTTCAAGGCAACCTAGGATGCGCGTCTTACGCGAGTGTTGTGAAACAAAAGAACGATGTGATAACGAGGTGTCTCTCGTGGAGTGATTTGGTTTGAAAAGCTGTAATAATTCACTGTGTATTAAGGATCAAAATGGTTCATTTCGCATCATCGCAGACACAAATAAAGTTTAATGCCAGGCATTTGTCATTTCTGGTCATGTATACCAAGTCTGATATAAAACAGACTGGGTTTAGGTTTGGGATTTGTGGGGAGAGAGGGGAAGGTGGTGTGACCAGGGAGAAAACCCTGGGTGGGTTGGTTGGTTGGTTTTGTTTTGCCATAGGTGATAGGATGAAGCTGTGCAGGAATTTGTTCCGCTGAAAGCTTCTTACACGACACAGACAAAATACAAACCCAGCCCATGGGATGAGCAGCGGGTACAGCCTGGGAGAACGCGTTAGGTGCCGCTGGCCCTCTGACAGCTTGCGGCAGGTCTCTGGTCCCGGCGGGGTGGGTGGTCACCTCGCGTCTCTAAGGGAAGGGTTGAGAGGCAGAGACAGATTCTGGCAGCGACTCTTGACCTAGGGCTTTAATTAAAGGCAAGCGTCGCGAGCCTTTGCAGCAGAGGCTTTACGGGGAGCGTGGGGCAGCGTGCACAGGGGTGAAGCAATTCATATCGTACTTCAGAGATGCACAGTTTTATAAAATTTTAAAAATGATCTGAAAATTAATCTCTTGGCAGAAAGCTGCTACATCAGAGCTAATGCTTGTCAGCTCTGGGAGGATGACAGCATCAGAGTTAAGAGCTCCCAACAGTTATGAATGAGGTTTGTGGGTGACAACCTTTGCAAGCGTAACGACGGCTTCCCAGAAGTTTCAGAGTAACGAAACAGGCGGCTGTGATGCTGTTCCAGTTATGACTGGAAACACTGATAGCAAACTAGCGTGGGCAAACCCACTCGTGCGCTAGCCAGAAATTATCGGACGCTCAAATAGCTTGACAATGCGTTTTAAAATTCAGCCTCCTGTAAATCTCTGTTTAAAACCATGATACTTTTTTTGTCATATAAAATGTAATCTAGGTGGTAGGTCTTAGTTTCTGTTAGAGAACATATAATTAGCGAAGAGAGAAGATAGGTATAAGATGACTGAAATACGTAAAAGTCTGAGAAGCTGAGAAATCCAGTACAATTGTTTTCTGTATTTGTGAGTATATCCAATGGGCTTCGCTCTTAATAAAGCAGGTCTTTGCAGTTGTATTGATTTTTCCTAATGTCCTAGCATTTACATTCTTTGTTAATTTTACTGTACTTGGTATATTTCATGTAAGGGGTAACTTATAAATCTTGATGCTTTTCTATGTGAAGAGTTACTCAAAAATAGTTGGGTTTGATGAACTTTTACCTGTCGATACTTCTTAAATAGCCCAAGTTAATTGTGAATAAGGTGCTATTATTCTGGAATAAGAGCATTCGTACTGAAGCTGAATAGCAGCCACAAAT